GCTTTGACTCGGTGGCATTTAGGTGAAAGGTGTGGGCTCTGAAGGTAGAAATGTTTTTCTCTTTTTATTGTCTAGAAGCAGAAGACTTGCCTGTTAAGTATTAAAGGAAATCTGCTTTGTCACGACATCAGACAGGGGGAGGACTTGCTGTAGCTGGAGGTGACACACTTCCTCTCTGCTGAGTACCAGTCAGATATATGAGAGAATGTGCTCTGTTCTTGAGTGTCACCTCCAGCTACAGTGAGTCCTCCCCCAGGTCTGGGATCTGATTATGTTTGCCCCATCATCCAGGTTGCTCAGATCCACTAATCTGCTGAATGGTTCAGCATCTCTCTCATCACTATTAATACTTCAGACCCAATATTTGACCTTGGTCTATGAGTCTCGATTAGTTTGCCGTGTTCCACTGAATGATGTTTAGGCCTCCGGAGGCTTTTCATCTGTCCCATTCTCCTCAACATGATATCTCAAGAGGGAATTTCTTCAAATTTGGCACAAATGTCCTCTTGGACTCAATGATGAACTGATTATATTTTAGTTGTCAAAAGTCCCTGTGATATTTTGGTCATAACATATGCTGATTATGATAATTTCACACACATGTCTAATAGGATAAAACGATGAAGTGATGACATTTTGAAGACTATTCATGTACAACTTCACAAGTCTCATTTAACTTGGTGTACATTTGTTTCAATCGTTCTGTGTTGTCGACATCTGAGAACCAGAACAAGGCTAAGGCCTCTAGTTTCACAGCAGTGTGTGTTCTCCCTTCTCTGGAGAGCTTCTGGACAGAGTGCATGGTGCACACAGTGACACGTGCTATATTACACTTGCTGTGCACTCTGGCTGTTATAAGAAAAGACATAATGTCTCTGTATGATAAATTAAGTCACAAGGTGTGACAATGCAGCAAGGGAATATGGAGTGGAATGAAGTCATTTCAAAAATTCATATTATTCATCTTATAATATTTAATGTTAGCGGTGGACATTTAACGTTTCATCTTTCCATCCACACCATCTGAAAAAGGCCTCCCCATCAGCCAGTTTGGTCGTATCAGGAGCATCTGCAGTAAACAAACTGACTCGGAGAAACAAGCAGATGAATTAGAATACAGATTCCAGGAGAGAGTGTGGAATGAACAGGTTCAGCACTGTTACACAGGAAGAGTGCCTCATCAAAAAGGAAAAACCTCCACTGAAATGATGGTGCTATGTAAAATAATCAGCTAAAGAGTTTGAAAAAATCATACAGAAACATTGGCTCATTTTGAGCTCTGATCCACTACTTCAAATGAATTTAAACTTCTTCCCAAAGTAGTGTGCAAACGTCTCCCCCAAAACTAACATCTGATCTCATCACTGCTTAAAACACTACTTTCCTTCATCCTCGCATACACCCACCGATAAGGAAAAACACTGAAACTAAGAGGCGCTATATCTCGTTCCACAAGAAATGTAATCTGTTTTATCAAATGCCCAAGTGGCTTAGCGTATGAAAAACACAAAGAGCTCTAGAAACCAGGATCGCAGAGTGCGGGAGCTGCATCCAGACCCAGGATCCACGTAACCCGGTGCATTTCAGATAACCAGACCGTGGCCTCTCTCGGATACATTAGCATTGAACACGTTGATGCCTGAGTCCGTATTCCAATCGCAACATCGGCGGTGCGATCCCCGGCTGCAGGTCGAAGTGTCCTTTGACAAGACATCAAACCCCAAATTGCTCCCATTTGTTGCGTCACTCAAGAAATGAATGCGATTGTGAACCATCCAATTGCCTTCATGAAATATATTTGGCATAATCCATACTGAATTTAATAGTTAATTATATATTTTTTTATATTTAAATGTGATGTTAACTGTGATGAGATCAGTAGCTGAGATGACTGGCAGAGGAACAACCCACAAAGATCACTGTTTTTAATTAGCTCCATCTTTTCAGTCTCTCTCCAGCCGGCCACGTCTTCCTGCCAACACACAGCCCTGTGACACCAAGGGCCGAAAAAGTCTAAAAGGAGGATAGCAGGTTCTTATAACCCGTGTTACAAAAGTGTTTTGACAGAGCCGATGGCATACTGATGATCTTGCTTTGCTTGGTCCTACTAATAGTGGGGCCAAACATGTCTGTCCATTCATCGTTTCCTTATTAGATCGACTTTTGTTTCAGTGGATATTTTTACTAGAGGAAGTAAAGATGATGGAAAAGCTTCGTCCTTTACAAGTTTACAGGTCTAACATTTTATGGCACTATTTTGGAAGTGAAGAAGTGTTTGAATGTGGTGTTCTCAGTCATTCCTAGAACTGGTCTGCCAGCTCTTACATCTGTAGGCATCGCTACACAGCCTCCCTCTCCCGACTCCCTTATCCTCTCACTGTTCTCTCCCCAAAACACACACACACCACCTCACCGCCCTCCAGCCGCTCAGCGCTGTGATGCGTGACTCACTGAGCCATGATGCGAGGGCACTGGTGACCCTTGTAGGCTGATAGGCCGCCTTTCCCAACCTTGTTTTACGGCCTCCACATTGGGACCTGCTCCCAGTGTTGATTTATGTCTGGCTCTGCCTCTCTCGCCTGTCCGCCTGGCTGCCTCCTGCCAGGCGGACAGGTGAGTGGAAGCCGGGAACGCTGATTGTTACCAGGCTTAATGAGGCTGGCTGAGGTGCACTGGTGGCTTTTTGAATATGTCAGCCCATGATTACTGATCATCAAATGTCTGACACATAATGCACTTCATTTTAATTGTTTACACAAACATGAAATATAGCTCGAGACTGAATGATGTGGAGGAAGTAACGCAGCTTTAAATAATCATATCAGTCTGTCTGTCTTTGAGGAGAGAGAATGTTCCCTGAGGAGGTCAGAGAGGGGAACTGAAGATGTATCCTGTATATATGAACCACACAGCAGCAGTGCTTTGAACTGAGTGGTCACCTTATCTGATGGGGCAGTGACAGCCCGTTCTCACTCCCAACTCATAAAATACCACCACTCGTTCAGTGGTCCTAAACTTCAAACTAAGAAGCTCTAGTTTCCCCTTTAGTGTCAATTTTGGACGGTGTGTCAGTTTCTACTCGTAACATGTATAATGTCTTTTCAAAATGCACTTTCAAAGTATGATAACTTAAGCTAAAACACTACTCGGTAAGGTTTAGACAACAAAAATAAAAAAAATCATGGTTTTGGTAAACTTTCTAAAGGCCTTTACACACATGCAAAATGTGCCTTGATCTTTTATTGTGGAAGGTGAGAACAGAAGGAGTGGATCTGGTCTGAGCGTCTTTATCAGGGTTCCAACTACAGAGCCTCCATTTTGTCGTTTCAAAAATATAAAAACAACTCTATTGGTTGATTCCTCAGAAAAATAAACCTTAATCTGAAAAAAGTGTCACTTTTCAGCCAAGTAATATTTGTGTTCTCTGAGAAAGTATTCCTGACAAAATATACAGAGGTGTAAATTAAACACGCATAAGAAGGCCCTCTGTCTGTCGAGCAGAAACTAGGAAACACAGCGGCTTTCAGTCTGAGGTTCCCTCTCTACCGGATCTCAGCCCTGTGTGTCACCCGGCCGACGGTCCACCAGCTGTATGCCGTTGCCTCCCCAACACGGGCAGATGGCTTCAGCAGCCCTCCCTGTCTGTTTCTCCAGCCACCCGTATGTTCATATCAGCATGAAACACGGCTGCTGTTGAGGAGATGATGGCTGTTACAATATTGATGATGAAAACAGTAATAATCAAGCCCTCTACAATGTTAGGGCTTAATCATTTATCCTGTGGGAGCGTTGTGTGTGTGTGTGTGTGTGTGTGTGTGTGTGTGTGTGTGTGTGTGTATATACATACCTTCCATGTTAATAACATGAAGGAAACATCAGTTAAGCCAGCACCAATGAGAGAAAGCAGCATTTGAAAGACCTCATTCATCACTGTGCTTTCCTACTTCCTACAACACATCATGAATCATCCCTTTAAGTAATCCACTTTGAGCTCTAAACCCCCGCTATCCTCGCGTCACCTTTTGGCTATTGAATTAAAGAGTTTCTACTGATGAATAAATACATTTTTCAAAGCACCGCTGAGTCATCCCCAAAGAATGGTGATTGGTTTTGATTTTATTTTTGGGGAGAAATTTCTGAGGAGAGCTGGAGGATATAGATTTATACATTCACAACAGAGAGGACATGTGTCAGAGCTCCCTTGTACAGTAATTGTATTGAGTTCAATGCTGGCTATAGCTTGCCACTGGGAGTTGTACCTGTGAGTGTTGACTAGTACCACATTAGATATGTATGTTTGCAGGCATCTCTCTCTCTCTGTCCACACACACACACACACACACACACACACACACACACACACACACACTAAAGCCTGGTGGTGACTGAAACAGGGGCACAATACAGGGGAAGTAAATTGTCAAAGGAAGTAGGTCAAGATGGAGAACAAAATAATGATAGAGCAGGAGGGTCGGGACGGAGAGATTGAGCTTCTAATGATGGATTAGGCAGAAAATCAAACTGGAATGGGGGAGGGAATTGAAAGATGAAATTGTTAATCTACTCTCTCCCCAGCTTGTCGTTCCTCCATAAAGGACACTAATGCTGCATTTCCACTGCATGCTACCCTGCGCTCTGCTCAACTTGCCTCGCTCTTTTTTTGGTTTTGATACAGCCAAAAGTGTTGTTGTTACTTGGTACTTTTTCTGGTACAACCTCGGTCGAGGTTTCAGTAAGTGTGGCGTTCAAAATTATGTGACGGCAGTTTCATGCGGTATTGATATGGCGATCAACTGAGACTCCTGCCTCCACCAAAGGGGAGACAGGGTATTATCTGCAGTTGAAAACAAGGTAGAGAAAAGCACGGGTAGCAAAAGTGAGTTGAATGGAATGTAGCCGAGCCATGCAGTGGAAATGAGTGCCTACATACAACCTATATTTACATTTTCAGTCTATCAGGAGCACACACCATTCTTGTGGCATTGTAGTCCGAGGCCCACGGTTGACCTGACACTGACTGCTTTAAGTATTCCATCTCCTACCAACAGCCGGAGGGGTTTATTTAGACCATGACCACAATCTCTCCCTAATCTTAAACAAGCACTTTGATTTGCTAAACAGACACAAACATTCACCATTGTGACTCAGCAGTCCAGTGTCCTAAGAAGTACATCCATATTGGACAATTCTGCACCTCAACATTTACACACTGACTCCAAAAATTTAGTTCGTTAGTTTTTTGCATTTTTTCCGCATCCGTCAAAAGCCAAAGCAGGGTTGTTTGACCAGTCAGACCATCATCCAACATGTGCTGCATAATGATGGCAGACTTGAGTGTCGATCAGGAATCTGTAAAAGACGGCACATTCACAAACGTTCTTTAAAGCTGGACTCACACATTTACAAATATCAAGCTAGAAATGCAGCAACTGTATGCGGGACATGGTATAGTATGTTTGAGGTGATTTATTCAACACAGGCCACATGCAGGTTTTTGTACATAGATGCATGTACTTACATGCGTGTGTAATGAAAACGTACTGTTACAACATATATGTAATATAGTGATCTCCTGCTCTACAAACTATTTACAAATCTAATGTTTTTGCAGTGCCTTAAAAACAGGATGGTTTTCAGGCCATTTTTTATTGAAGCTGCTGATTGATAATATGGATTCTTTCAGCCGATGTGATAACCGATAATGACCTGCTTCTCATGGCCAATACTAATAAGAAAACTGATTATTTAAGATTTTGCATTTTAAAAAGAAGTTGATATAACCTGTAGCTGAGGGTAAGAAAGGCTCAGATGTAGTGAGCAAACATGGACGATTAAATATTCCACAGCTCTGAATGAATCAAATCTAACTGACATCACTATGACAACTAAAATAAAGAAAAGTCACAAAGATGGCAATACAAGCCACATGTAATGTCCCTCTGTCAAGAGTGATCCTCTGCTCTGGCAAGAAAGGACACACGATCATCCTCACACACACACACATGCAGCGCTCCTTTGCTAGTTGGAGCACAGCTGAAAGTCCTCGGTTTAAGCTGAATTAGTATCTAATACATATCTGATTGACTTCTTCATCTTCTTCTGATTGGCCCAATTAGTCCCCGCGAAGAACATTCACTGCATTTCTGTTCAATTACGTTTTAACTTCATCTTCCAGCTACTTCATTTCTGTGTGTGGCCGAACTATAGGGCTCCATGTGTTTCAATAATCAAAGAAGAGCAATGGTCTTGATGGTGAACTTTGTCTGGTTTAGGTGTTGGGGAAATATCAACTCCCTGCTCTGTCCAGTGTTTGGCGAGTTATCTTCAGACAAACAGAATCTGTCAGCAACATTCATGTCTCTCTGAAGATGATTCAGCTGTGCCAACTCCCTGATTTCATTTTTTTATTTGATCTCATCAGTTTACCCCTGCAGCATGTAGCTCGACATAGTGGGTTTATTGCATCGTTGTGCAGTGTTTCTATATTGTGCTGTGATGGTGTTTCAATCATTCGCTTTCTAAGTTACTCTCCTTGTTTGTGTTGGTAATGTGTGAGTTAATGTGTCTCATCATTGTAAACTCTGCCCACTGGTTCAAGACCCTGTTAGCATTTGAAATGTGTAGTTTCAAATGCTATTATTTATTATTATTCATTTCATTTTTACACCAGTTATAACTTTAAAAATGACTTCTGCCATCCACTACTTTCTTCTGCCTCACGCTGGATATTTGATCTAATGAGACTGAATGCTTCCAGACCAAATGTTGCTGCTTTAACACCTTATTGCTCAATCTTTCTGCATTGTAAATGACATGCACAAGGCTGTGCCCTCTGCCGGCCCTTTGTATGGACTGTGAATTGTATTATATTTTGCATGATATATATAGCATGCAAGTAATACGAGTGTTTCTAATACTGGCTTTGTTTGCTTGTTTTCTCTCTCCCCTTGTATTCCAGAGGTCAACAACAATATGCCAGGTGAGTTTGAATGAAAAAATTAAAAATAAATGAATTAAGTATATGACAGCCATCATTAGTACAGCTGCAGATATCCAGACAGGCTAGGCCAATACAACCATCGTATCGGCTTGGTGAGTCTGAGGCAAGCGTAATGTTAGCATGCCTCCACACCGCTCACAGCGCGGCCGGAGGCATTAGGTGTTCTGCTTGTCCGTCCGCTCCGTTGTTGTGAACAAAACATCTCAGGAATAACACTTTGAGAGAATTTCATCAAAGGTCACTTAGACCTCTCAAAAATAGTTAGCCATAACTCAATAATTCATATGCTAATTATGACAATTTCACACGAATGTCTAATAGGATAAAAATGAAGTGATGACATTTTGGACAGACATGGAGGTGAACTGCTCTGACCGTGAGGCGCTAATTCTAGTTTTGCAATCATTTTAATTTGAATTTATTTGCAATTTGAAAATGCACATAACGGTGGTCTTAGATTTAGTTATGATTCATGTGGTCAGCTTTAATATCTGTAGCAACTGATGGGGATGATTCCATCCATCCATTATCTTTAACCACTTATCCTGTTTGGGGGGGGGGGGGACCCAAGACAGAGAAGAGGTGCAATGTTTTGTCTGCAGGCTATCACTTCTGCTAACATGCTGGTATTTCTAATGAGGAAAGCCACTGGAACCTTTGTGTGATCTGATGCCATGCTTTCTCTCCTGGGAAAACATGTATCATCACAATACTATAGAGTATTGAAACTACGTGTGCTCTGTGCTCAAGACTTCTTTGTGCTTCTTCCTTCTCTTTTTCTTTTCTGTTCTCAAGGCCTTGCACATATGATGGCAGAACAAGGTATGCCTCTCCTTCCCTCTTCTCTCTCATGTGTGTGTGTGTGTGTGTGTGTGTGTGTGTGTGTGTGTGTGTGTGTGTGTGTGTGTGTGTGTGTGTGTGTGTGTGTGTGTGTGTGTGTGTGATTGTAGTGTGGAACTGCATGTTTTTGCGTTGTAGAAAATGAAAGTGCACGTTTTTTAAATGCAGTGTGATTTTATCATTCTGCTTTACTGCCCTACGAAGGCAAAACGCACTACACAACCGCTAGGAAGTGGCTCAGGGTCACTGGCCTCCAGCTGAACAAGAGAGCTGTTTAAAGGTGAAGCTAGTTACTGAGATAACTACGACCAGCTTTTACTAGTACTCACTGTTTTCACAAGCATTTTCTTTTATGTAACTTTAAATAAAATATAAAAACTGGTAGTAACTAAATGCAGTTCTGATGGAGCATAAGTAGTTTCTGCTGACAGTAAGGTTAGCAGAGTAGTAGCAGCTGCCATCTTAGCTCCTGACTTGTGGTACATGTAATATCTGAGCCAACCAACACAGACTACATCGGTTTGCAGTCCAACAGCCGCGGGACTTATGGAAAGTACCTACTGTATGTACCAAGTACTGTTCTAAAGTACAATGTTGAGGTAGTTGTACTTCTTCTGTGGTTCCATTTCTACGCCACTACAGTTCAGAAAGAAATATTGTCCTCAAAATATTAAATATGATGAATGATATAACAATCTCAATATGAAGAGTAATTCTTGTGAAATATAAATAATCACAATTAACTTTATTTATCATAAACAAACTATAAAAAGGCAAGAAAGCTGGAAAGTCCTTACATTTTCCTCTTCTAATCTCTGAAGATGCATTTTTAGGTATTATATGCTATGCCGATATGTTCAGCACCAATATGGTCCTAAAATGAAGGCTTTACTGACATCCCGTTTCCTGAGCAGCCTGGAAACTCCAGCGTGTGTGTAGTTCTCTGCCTTTGCAGGGCAGAGCTGGTGTGACATTCACAGATCCTGGAATCCTGTTGTGGTTGCATGTTTCAAGTGTTGTTGTGATGTACAGCTGCTGTTGTACATTGATTGATCCTCATGACATGTATTCAGATATACATCGATACGGTTGGTGTCTGTCTCACCTCTCCTCCTCTTCTTCCTCCTTGCCTGGGCTGTCTCGGCTGTGGATCCTCTCTTCTGTCTTCGCCTCCTCCTGCTCCTCTAGCTAAAAGCAAAGGTACAGCTTTTTCGAAATCTTTCCTTTTCCGCCAATATGAAAAGCGACGCTTGCTCTGTGAGTGTTTGAGAGGAGTGTGGCGTGATGTGTTTTGACGCTCTAGTGTGTTTACTTGTCTGTGTTCAGTGCCTCCTCTGTAATGGTTTCTCACTGAGGGTGCTTGGATCAAGCGAGTAATTAAGCCAACCTGAATAGAAGGAGAAAGAAAAGAGAGCGTGTCGCTTTGTGTTTTCTTACTGTGCGTGTGTGTGTTTAGTAATTTGTGAGAATGCTGTACAGAGTATACAGGGACGGCGTGAGACAGCTTCATGAGCTACAGTCACTGTGGATTGCTTTTCACAGGAACAAGCCTCTCCACCCTCTTCCTCAGTAAACCAGGGTGTCTACTCGTTCAAACGACATTCTCTCTGCTGGCTGATGACGGGCCGGCTTTCTGTTGGCAAAAAAAAAACTGACACGGGCTGTTCTTAAACTCTATAATCTAAAGCCATGTTCACACCCAACCTGCTTGTTGTGGTGTGACAAGCAGCACAGCACAGCAACAATTGCTGTGCGTAGATTTGGAGCACTGCCAGCCAGTCAGACAGATTTGATGTTGTGACAACATACAAACTGGCAGGTACAGGTGCACACACCAGAATAAAGTGGAGAAAAACTCTGCTCAAATGAGAAAAAAGCATAAAATAAACGATCCTAAAAACAAGTGTTAATAGTTCCAGGCTTCATGTCCGTGATGAATGATTACCTATCTTCATCATTGCTTGCATTGTTTTCATTTGGTTCAAAGAGATGAGCTATCAGAGACGCGTGTATTAACACACATGAGCAGCTACCATGAGGAAACTGTCTTCAGAGGAAGAGTATGAAGACCCAGTCATCTAGAAACAATGTAATGTCCAAACTCACCATGAAGCTTTGGCACCAGTAAACATTTAGAAGGTCAGATGCTTTGTTACCACTTAAGGCTGTATTTGATCCAATTTTGGCCATTGTGCCTTTTTGACTTGCATGTAGTCTTACAGTGTGTAAAAACAGTAACATTTCAACACATTCATTCTCTGCTCAGGTAGACATTACTCCTCTATTGATAATAGATGTTCACAATGTTCAATTTAGCACCTTTAAAACTCACAACCAGTTCAACTGACTGTAGACTCATGACAAAAGAGTGCATGTGTGTGATATTCTACGTATTGAGATATTTGCCAGGCAAACTGTTCAAAATATTCCTTCAAATATTATTACTAGCAGCATTTCTAACTGGTCAGCTTTTCTTTTGTATGTTTTGGTTTGGTGTTTGTTGGGTGTCTTTGTGAGGCCATTATAAGCTAGTTGGTAATCATATTAAATATTATTTATTGATTCATTAATTGAATAGAGAGGCAGCGGTGTAAAGCCAGCGACAGAGCTGAATGCATGCACTGAGAGTGATTTCATGTGAAGAGGAGGAGAGAGGTGCACATGAACAGAAACAGTTTGATTTTGTCATGGATGTGCAATACCTGTAAAGACACAAGCATTATAGGATGTAATACTTCTGTAGCCCCACATGCTTACTTATATGTATTCCAGTGTAAAAAAAAAAAAGAGAGAATGTGTGAATATTTTGTTTCATTGGAATTCTAGTTGCAGTACTGAGTACAGTTTTCATGCACTTCTATTTTTGTTGAGAATTACAATTTAATGCTACTTTATACATCTATTCTACTACACTTGGGGGCAAATGTTGTTTTTACATTATACCACGTACTTACCACATGTTTTGACAGTATGGTTACAACAGATAAAACAAAACTCACTGTTCGGATTGGATCCCGGTTTTAAGTCAGGGGTCGGATCAGCAGAGCAAATATAACTTTTAGAGATCCCCCCCCCCCCCCACCCCCCCCAACCGTTGGAAGTTAAACAGGTCATAATTCTCTCTAATATGTATCTAATATTGCTGTGAAAACACCTCCTTCACTGACGTTTCTTACCAAAAAAACACATTTTACAGGATTACATTTGAACACACCATGATAATGTTAAGTGTGCCTTTGCCTTATACTACTTAACTACAGATACAGCTATGATTACAAGTTAATTTGCAACTCATGGTTTTACTTAGAGAACATGTGATGAGATTATGCAATGGGACACATTGCATAGGTTTATATGTGCCTCCCCAGAAGGCTGATTGACTTATTTTGAAATTGTTAACAGTATTGTTATGGGGCTATATATATATATATATATATATATATATTAAAAGCAGCAATAATAGCAACCTCTGAAAATGCACAAATCATGTGCAGAGCTCTGTAAAAAAAAAATTGAAATACATAGCAATATGTGGAAAATGGATTGCGACATGCACATGTCTAGTTTATAAAAACACTGTCATATTAAGTTCTATTTGCATTATATATACACAGGATCCGTCTAATAGTCGACTATTCGGGCTCACCCCTAGTTCCATGTCTTTTGGTGTTTGCCTTGAAAAGCTGTAGTTGTCCACAGCCTGCTGCTGTCACCTGTAATGGCTTCCCCAATTCACAGAAGCAAGCTTGTATAAGCTCCTGGAGTTTCCTCTCCCCATACACCTGTCTCTCTTCCTTGTTGCTGTGTTTAATCCCTGAGCGAGATGGTAGACATTATTAGGCATCAGGCTCCCTGTCGCCTCCCGTTAGGCAGACAAGAGGCTCCATTCTGGCTCTATTTGCATGGCGGCTCACTAGTGGCAGGGAGGAAGACAGAAAGAGACAGGAAACTGTGTCGCTGCCGTCGAGGAGTCCTGTTTTACTGTCCTGGGCTCACAAAGAGTGCTTCTCTTCTCATTTTCATTCCTTTTGTTAGACTCGCTCTCTCTCTCTACTTGAATATTCTCTTGGTCTATCTCCCCTCGACCTCTGTTATCTTTGTCAACACTTCGCCTTCCCGGCGGTCTCTGTTGTCTTCTTCATTTTCGCTCTTCATCCACTCCCCAATTACCTTTCCATAATTTTTGCCTCTATCTGACCTGATCTCCTCTTTCAAAAATCCCTACCACTTTCCAATCTTGTCATTTTTTATTACCTTCATTCTTTGTTTATGCTCACTGTCTTATGCAGTTTTATCAACCTACCATTTTAGATCCATTGGATCCATCTATGGGTCTTGACAGAGCAATAGCACCAACATGGAAGCCAACGTCATTGAACCTGGCTTAACTTAAGCTGCAGCGCAGTGGCCATTCCTGGTAGATGACATTAATTGTCTCTGTAATAGTTATAATCTTATCATTAAAGACATTCATGAACTTCCTTTGTTTTTGTTTTATTGTCATCTATTTTAGAGGGGCAACAGAGTCCAGTGTCATTCTCGGTGAGCGTGTAGCACTATCGACAAGATGATTAACCTGGGACGGACTAAAGTTATCACAGGAGTCCTCTGTTATATTGAGACATGGTATTGAGTTAAATACAGTTGCAATCGCTTCTTTAAAGTTAGTTACTGCACTATCACATAGACATCTAGTGTAGAACCTTTTGCCTAATTTCTGTGTAAAGACTATTAAATGTTCTATTTTAATGCCATAAGCCAGAACCAGGTCGAGGGTTAAAACAGTGAGTGGGTTTCTGTACACTCTGACAGAAGCCAGTCGAATCTAATAAAGAGGTAAAGCAGTACCAATACGGACCTGGGGCCCGGTACACTAAAACAAATATAATTGGCTGTATTGTTTTCCAGGTTGGGTGTGAAAGACTAAGAACCAGGCTTTCAAATGAGTTATAATTTAGTTTAGGTTTAGGCTCGAGTCAAAGATGGCTGCTACTCCACCTCCTCGGTGCCTCGAGGAATGTGAATGAGTATTAATATGATTTGGAGGATATGATTCATTTAGGCTGACACATTACACAGCCAGGTTTTAGTAAGACAAAATAAATCAATATGATTATCTGATATTAAATCATTTACTAATACAGCCTTAGTAAATGTCTGCTTCATTTTTTTCTTAAACAAGTGTATGACATAACATTTTAACCATGTAGCTGAATAAATAATAACAAGATGTGTTTATTTAAGAAACTAAACTGAGTCTAAAGAAACGTATAACTGTTAAAAGTTAAAAAACACGTCAGAATTTCTTGGGTCATATTGCATTACTTCCTTCAAAAACAGGCGGTTGCATGATTATATTTGGAGGCTCAGATGACCGTAAAGTCGGTTTCAAAAGTAAGAAAGCGACTGACAAAAATGTACTGCAATACAGGGGGCGAATATTAGTTAAAGTGTGTTTTTTGTACCCGTTCAGAGCACATGATTTGTGCATTCATGTTGGTTTACATCCACCATAGACTGTTAAATGCCTTTAAATGTCTATGAAGCTCCACAGCCACAGTTTATAATATAATCTGTTTTTTTTTTTTTGTTTTTTTTAAATTCAGACTTCCCACCAGAGCCACAAGTAGGACTAACCATGCTACATCATCTGCAACATGCTGTCTCTAGCACAAACAAATTCACCTCAAGCATCCGTCCCGCACAGTGTGTACTGTCCTGTGTCTCTGCACTCACAGAAACGGGTCTACAGTCAGGAAAATAGTCCACGTTAGTAGAAGTCTTATAGTCTCTGCCCCCACTAACTAATATGTGTGTGTACACTGCTGACTCATGAGTGTATGTGTACAGTGGTTGACTATAGTGTAGTTGTGTATCCTTTATGGATGGATATCATATTCTTATAGGCGTAAGTGGATGTTTGCATGGATGAATCAATGTTCAGAGATACAAGGGGATATATGCTATTTGTGCTGTGCATACGTGATTCACTGTAGTCGGTATGCTACTGTATCTAAATATGACAGAGAGGATGGAGAAAATACAATACGCTAACACCTCGTAATGTGATTCAAACCAAAGCTGCTTTTGGCGAGCTGCTCACACCCGAGCTGTTCATGCGGTCCCGTACTGTGCTGTGCCCTGTGCTGGCAGAGATCATATGCCAACAAACAGCAGTGGCAACGAAAACAACACACCCA